CAGCTTGATAATTTTTTGGAGATGAGATACCATGAAAATCAGTTGGTTGTTTTTGCCAAGGAAGAATGTTCCATTCTGGAGACCTGGAAAACTAAGAGCTTGTTCAGAATTAGAAGTTGAAACAACAGATGTGTTGTAAGGCCACTGCTCTTCTTGTGCCCACTGCCTTTACTTGTTTGATTGTTTTTTTTTTAGGGTGTATGCATGGTTGGACCCCCAGGTACTGGCAAAACAATGTTGGCAAAAGCTGTAGCTACAGAATGTGGTACAACATTCTTCAATGTCACCTCTTCAACATTAACTTCTAAGTATCGTGGTGAATCTGAGAAACTTGTCAGGCTACTGTTTGAAATGGTAAGAGAAGGTGATGTATTTCAATATTACTGCAATAAGACTCGACATGATCACTCAAAATGTATTTCTGTAATATAAGAATAAAAATATCCAATTCCTGCATCATTTCATAGAAAGGACATGATTTTGTAAGGAAGACTGAACTTAAGTATTGAAGTCTTCTTTAATTGGGTGTTCAAACACTTAGTGTAAGTTAAGAAAGAACTTGTGAAAAATTAATTTTGAACTTTGGTATTTTACAGGCTCGATTTTATGCTCCAAGTACAATTTTTATTGATGAGATTGACTCGATCTGCAGCAAGCGAGGTTCAGACAGTGAACATGAAGCTAGCAGACGAGTCAAGTCAGAGCTGCTCATACAGATGGATGGTGAGTCAAGTATTATGTGCAAAAACTTTCCAAAACTAAACCTAAGGTATGACAAAAAAAAAAAACCTTTGATAAAAAGAGATGGAAGAAAGCTTATTTTGCTTTTTGGGAAAAAAAAAACTCAAAGTTAGAAATTGTTTGTACTATGTCATAATCATTCATTTACATCCAAAATAATACTTTTGAAGCGTTTGAAACTGTTTATGTTTGCCTAACAACTACTCTGCTTCAAAATTTATATTTTCTGAGATATTTTCCTTGTCTCCCTCCCTTTCTCTCTCTCCCTCTCCCTGTCTCAGTTTAGAGGTTTTCCCATTCCTTTGATGAATTTTCCCTTTTTTTTTTTTACACTGAGACCAAAAGAAGTTTGGGG